TTTAAAAAAAAAAAAAAAAAAAAAAAAAAAAAAACTATGAAGTAATTTTATTGAAAAGAGCGAGTAAAGAAATAAAAGCTCTTCAACGTTGATTGATTAAAATGCAGTGGATATTTTAATCGCGGCGCGTGATAAAGAAATAAAGTGAAATGTTCCCAGTAAGAGGTTCGAGGCAGAAGGTGGAAGGTAGAGAATCGATAAGATAGTTATGGAAGTTAAGAGTACATAAAGTTAAGAAGGTGATACGAATAAAAAGTGATCAAGATGAAAAGATAGATATATAATAAAAGAATGAGGTGAGAATTGACAAGTAGGCGGGTCCCATCGACCCTGTAGTTGACGCTACTCGCGGCTCGTCAACCCCGAGTACGAGAGCAAAGCTTTTTCAGCTATACTTATATATCTATATATGTACTCAACTAAGAAGATATAAAAAGCGTGCCGTGTTTCTTTGGGTATTTTTTTTAAATTTTCACCTCGGTAATTACTTGTCCAAACTCGTCGTTCTCCATTCGCCATTACATTCTCCAGTCGCTTACTCTTACTCTTACTCCTTTCATTCTTTTATTCTTACCCTTACTATACACTAAAACATTTTAGATTAAATATTTATCCAGCAAGTAGAGACTTTTATATTTTAAATATTTTATTTATTATACCTCGCATATAATAATTTTGTAAATAGAGGATCTTTCGAGTGCATGATAAATAAACCGGAGTTTGTAATCGATGACAGTTAAGAAAAGTTGTATGGATATACATACATAAGTATTGGTCTGAAGTTAGTTTGATTGGAGTTTAAAATCGCTTTCCGATCGCTCGGATAGACTAGACGGAGAAAGGAGTAAGGGATAAGTTTGTTTTTTATCCGACTACCGACTATGTATTTGGTATTGATCTAGTTGTATAAGCAGCAAGTACTGAGATAAGTGTAAATGCGTTGTACAATATCTGCGTATATGTATTTGCAGGAAGATTTAAGTTTGTAAGAGGTGAATGAGTCTTTTATAAATAATTATCCAAGTGGAGTATTGAGTCTTAGTTTCGAGGTCATCGAGTACGCAGTTAGTACTTTGTTTGAGTACATATCAAACTAGTAATAGTAGTGTGATGTGTGGATATATAGACATATGTGTTTAGATAGTACATATGAGGCGCTCTGCAGTTAGGCGCTTACTTTTGCTATAGTTTGCCGGGGAAAATTGCATACGCGTTGCGTCGTGCGAATGTATACACTTCACATGACACAGCCAAGTGGTTTTTGTTCCACATAGGGCGGCATATGACGTGTGTAAACCCGATTCGTCGGTTATTATATGTCGTCGTCGTCGTCGGGTAGCACACCGAGATCGATATCTCTACTTTACGCGACTACTCGTGCTTATAAGGTGTGACGATGACGTTACGGTCTTTAACCTTCTTCGTTTTAGGTTTTATTCCTTCCTCTCTGCTTTTTTATGTTTAAGTTATTGTTATTGGGGCTCAGTATCGTGCATATAGTATGCTATTATTGTTAATCTTATCATTTGTTTTTATATGAGGAAGTTGAAAAAATAATGGGCTCAGAGAAAGGGAAAGTAAAACACGACAAACTTTTTTTTTATATTGTTTTATTTGTAGAGAATGATTTTTATTAGAGATTAATTGCCCGGAAAAAATTAGTCATATGAGACCGTATGTAAATTGTACATGGATATTGAATACTGAACATTGTTTAATATAAATTATAACTATTACTCAATTTTGATCAGGAATCATAATTGTCTTAATTATACAATGACAAAAAAATTAACTTGAAAAATTAACCAAGAAAATAATTTTGAAATGTTTCATTGTTTTCAATCAAGACGAAAAATTCTTGAACCAAATAAAATTTACTTAAACCAAAGAATATTTCTTAGTTTAAGAATTTTTCTACTGAAATCAAGGAGATGAAGTTCTTCAAAATTATATACTTGCTTATAAAACAGTTGCAGTTGATTAAAAAAATAAATGTAAGCTTTATTTTGTACTTTATTTACACTGAACTGATAGTTGAATCAGATATAATTTTTATTTGATTATTACAATTATTAATTAAATTAAAAAATAATATTACTTAAAATTTATTGGCGTTA